CATTGGCTGCCAAAGACGTCTATAGACGTCTTTTATGTTTTTCAACGCGATTGGTGTGGGGGACGATCTGCTAAAGCTTGTCCATAAATATCAGGCTTCTAGACAGAGTATGTAGTGACAAATTGACCCTCTAGGAGGCAGTGCCACTTTTGATGGGAGATGAGCATAGACTGTAGGCAAATAATAAAAAGGTAACGGTTCGATATGAGAGAACATGTCGCCGGTGAGACGCAAGTCGAGGAAGAACGGAATAAGGTAGAAACTAAATTTTTTCCTGATGAAAGAAGAGAGTCTACTCTTTCTTTTGGTGTGTTCGGTGTTTACATAGTCATAGCACAAACTATTCTGTGGCTCTTGAAAAATCAGTCAAAATGCTCAAAAAACTCTGGCAGTATGGGACTCTCTGTTCTGGAAATGGCTGGCAGTCAATGAGTTAATGCCCCCCCGCCTTTCTGACCCCTGCCCCCCCCCCCCCCCAGGCGGGGACTTGGAGCCCGACTACGACCGGGTCCTCCTGAGGGTCGCCCACATCTACGAGGAGGAGGACGACCCCGAGCTCTCCAGGCCGGTCACCCTGGACCTGAAGGTACCCGAACGCACTCTCCCATGCGGCGGTTGGGTGTCTCTGTGTGTGACGGCCGGCTGTTTGTTGGGCAGGCGGCGCTGGCGGGCCTCGGCGAGGTGGAGGCCATGGAGGAGCGCTCGCTCACGGGGACCTGGGACGCCACCCGCCTGCGGAGGTGGAAGTGGAACACGGCGGATAACCGGGAAGAAGGTGGGATTCTCATTTACGTCGGGATTTTTAGGTCCTTTTTTAACTTTTTTAAACTTCTTTCTCCTCTCTTGCAGACTTGAGAAGGGGGGATGAAGGCAAAGAGTTCACGGTGACCATCTGGCCCAAACAGATCAGGACCTTCTTCGTCCACTTCGCCTCCAGGAACTCGTAGTTCCAGATGCCTCCTGTCTTCTGTGAAGACGGACTCTCCTTAGATCTGACGAATTATTTACTTAATGATTTACTCCTCCTCTTTTCGACACACTGAATCGATCTGCGAGAGCAAGAATAAAACATTGTTTTCTCATTTTTGTTCAGATGTTAAGTGTCTTTTGTTGTTCTCAATTCGTTATTTACATCGTTATATATTTGTTTGTTGTTATTTCTTTACTACCAACTCAAAAAAATTGATGATGAATAGACAGTTTTTTATTTTTGTTTTTTCAAATTATTTTTATTGAAACAAATGATAAGATAATACCAATAAGGAATACAGTTCACTTTTTTTTTTTTTTTGGATAAACATATACTTGTGCAGGTATAACTTCTAATATATACTGTACATACAAGTATAAATGTTGAAGTAGTCACACCTAATAAATATACAAAAAACTACAACAAAACAAAAGAAGAACAATAAAAGAAGAGAACAACACATCCCATTCCCACCCTGTCTCAGCCCAACATATTCAGCAGAAAAATAAGATAAATAATAATAATACTAATAAAATAAAAAAATAAAAACATTAGCAAAGTACAGCAACAGGCACACATATTTAGTTAGGTAGGAGCTTCAAATCTGAAAAATAAGAAAGAAAACATTGCGAATAGACAGTTTTGTAACCAAATCCAAAAAATGTGCCACTGCCTCAGAATCTTAAAATGTAACTAAATGAATCAAAACAATAAAAAAAATACATGTCATCACTTTTTTTTTTCTAACATTTTAATCTTTATTTCCATTATGGATACATATGTTTTTAGCTTTTTTTTTATTGATCTTTTGACTTATGAGCATCCATAAAAACGTTTCTCTTTGGGTCGTAACTGTGTGATTCAAATCCAGCCTGCAGTTCCCCTGTGTCGCCACCGGTGGCGCTGTGGTCCAAATCAATGCTGAACAAACCGGGAGACGAGGAGACGACACCCAGCCCCCGGTCGGTCGGTCGGTTTGTTTGTTTGTCTGTGTGCTTTTAGGGGGGGATGATGCCGTTAATATCGCAGCCTGGCACGTGACCGGCCGAGAGGAAGCGCGTGCC